TTCCCTACATACAGCTTTATTTTGAAAGGATCAATTTATAGTTTGTTACACTCAGAACTTTTTCCCATAACAAGAAAGGGGAATCATTTCTGCAGCATACACTGCAATCAAGTTGAGAAAACAGGAGAGTTTAAAATCCTTCCTTTCTACCTCAAAACTAACTTTACTGAATAACAATTCACAAGTAACTTCTTTTGTGTGGGATAATCACCTGTTACTGATTTTCATTCCAGAGATGCAAGCACTGATATTAGATACAAACTGTGGTACAGAAACTGAGACACAAAAAGTGTAAGAGGAAGACGTCACACCAAAAACAACATCTTTTTGTTTCCGTGAGAGTCAACTACAGAATGCAGAAGGTAAAGTAAGCAGGGGCCCGTAGGACATGTCCAAAATGTAGAGGAGCCAAGTTAACTAAAGGCGAGCTCTGAACCTGCTTCACATTTATTAATAGTCCAAATCACTGACAATGATTTAGAAGTTTAAAAATACAAGAGCCAATAATCCAAGGACAAACAACATTTAAAAATGCTTAACTAACCATTTTCAATCGATATCTTCAGAAGCCTGTATTTTCCATTTCTTGCTCTGGCAAAAATATCTTTAACATCCTCACTTGCTGTGGAAAAAGATACAGAAAAGTAAACCTATTTTTAATACTTACGTATTAATACTTTCTGATGCTACTTGAATAGGGAAAAAATGAAATGTAATACAAAGAAAACGTCTTGAAGATGCAGTATTCTCTTATCAGTAATTTAAATTACAAAAATTAAAAGGTGTTACAGTAGACATTGTATACAGCTAAGAAACATAAATATTAACATATTTTAAAAGTATATTAATTCTAACCTGTTTTACCTAGATAATTCCATAGCAGAAATTTACATTGGGAATGAATATATTAAAGTTTCTCAAACCCAATAATCACAAATCACAATTTTGAAAAACACCTTTATTGCTTGTTTGAAAAATGCTGAAAACCTGCTTTCACTCTCTTCTGGTTCAATTTCAAGCTTATAATAAACAAACACACCTCCTTCATCAATTCATTTTTACATTTTCACCTTTAAAAACAACAGTTAATGTCAAACACCCTATCCTGATTAAAGAAAAACACAACACCATTCAAGCTCGTACTTCTGGTCATACTTCTCTAATTCATATTTCTTAAAAACCTGGAGTAATCTCACTGAGCAAATATATATTTAATAACCTATCCCTTGTGCTCCTATTAAAGCTTAAATTTCGTTCTAATTTTATTCTTGAGTTGTATATTGAGAACAAGAACCACTGTTTAGTAGTGCTTGCTAAAACGCTCAAGCATAAAAGTCAATAATTATATATATCAAAACTAACGCAGACAAAACAATGCTTTTAGATTTGCGACTGTTTTGCTTGTGTTTGTGCGTGCAGGAGGAGGTGTGGGGTGGTGTCAAAGGCCCTTAAGAACAAAACACAATTAGACGTTCACCTGGGGAAAAGATTCGTTGTCCATTAACAGGAGGAGCTTGTGTTTACATTACAACTCGTTAAGTGATCGCAAGTAACCCGGGACATATTATTTGATTCTGATGAGGTGAGTGAGCACTTTCAGACCGCCCATTTTCAAACCAGGAAATAACACAGGTCAACTATAATTGCACATGCAACTGCCTGCCCGGGACGATTAAACGTAACCACACAGATCAAACTTTTCAGTTCCCTGGGTAGTATCTAAGAACAACCAAAACGCCTCATACTCAGGATACAGACAACGGTGTTGACGTTCCAATTTTGGAAGAAAATGCTTAAGAGTTTGGGAAGCACCCTTACTGGAAATGAAAAAGATTCCCGCATCTTTCTTTTGATAATCCAAATCTTGTAACAACTCTAAAGTTGGACCGTGAAAAAGAAAATTCGCCCGTCTCTCGACAGCAAAAAGAGCCCTAATTGCCTCCACGGTTCCAGGTCTTCCCAGTCCGATAAAAAAAGGGGAAAGTTGGGCTAACGGCGGCGGCGGCAGGCACGCCCCCTTCACCCCGGCCGCCGCGGAAAGCCATTTCCTTCGCTCCGGCGAATTTCGGGTCCATCGGCAACGTGGCGGCGGCCGGCCCGGGCTGGGAGGGTGGCAGGCCGGGAGCGCCCGGGACACGAGAGCGCGGAGAGGTGCAGAGGCCCGGCTTGTCCCCGAGACCGACTCCCTGTGCTCCGGGACCGACTCCGGCCCTGCCCATCCCGCCGCCCGCCCGGCTCGCCGGGGGCCTCCCAGGAGTCCCTTCCCCGCAGGCAGCGCCGGCGCCGTTACCTTGGATGCCGGTCTGATGGGACATGGCGGCGGCCGCGGGCTCCAGGCTCCGGCGCTGAGTGCAGCGAGCGGCCCCGGCCGGCGGCTCCAGGAAGTGGCGGCTACTCCACCCAGCTCTGTTAAGACCATTCAACTCATTCCCAGCTTCTGCCCCCCGCCCCGCCCCGCCCCCGCCCCGCGAGGCCCGCGGCGTCCTCGCGCGCCCCCGTCGCTCTCGCTACCTGCCTCCTGACACCCGCGCAGTCTCCGCGCAGTCTCCGCGCAGCCGGACTGAAGGTCTAGACCCCCGGCCCGCAGCTTCAGCTCTCTGCCGGGGGGGGGTCACAGTCCACGGTATTTGCTGCCGTTTCTCCCCCTCCACCACGTTCGAAACACTGCCGGCCCGGCAGGATGGCTTTGCCCTCTGGGGTCTGCCCTCCAGTGACCCTGCCGACACCGCCTTTCACTGGTTCAGCAAAAACGTTGCTCAAAAACAGAAATGAACGTTTTACTGAACACACGTTTTCAGCTTTAAAAAGATGTGCATGATATCCTTCTTGGTTTACTCTTCCTGCAGTCTATACAATTTAATGTAAACGGTCACTCCCCGCCCCTTTTTTATAAAAAGAATTAATAGATAGGCAGTCTCCCATGAAAATCCCCCACGCTTTTAAATTAAGTTAATCTCAGACTGTTAACTATCCTTTCTTTAGTTGGGCACATTTAGACACCAGGTTTTCCTTTCTCTTCATTCCAAAAAGAGACAGCCACTGAGAGTGAGATTAACTGACTTGAGTACTCCTCTGTGGTCAGTTCTATCATTGCAAACTATAATACTGCTCTGCTTCAGGTTGGCGGTTTATTCTTTAATCAGGTAATTACCCAAGATTCATTCGTAAGGATGAATTTGTAAGATAACAGCAGATATTATTAAAAATTATTTTTCATTTTCTGCTTTTATGAGCATGTATTTCCCTTTCTAAGGATAATTTTAGTAGTTATTTTTGTACTACTTTTCTAGGACTCTTAGATTATAGTTTCCTAGGTGGAAAGCTGGGTCTTTTGTTTTTAGGGCCTTGAACTGACAAGTATACAAAAGTACAATCTGATTATCAACAAATACTCTGAACAGGCCAATAATATAAATGCAAGTTAACAAAATCACTCTTCAAATGCAATGTATTTTTAATTAGTTAACTAGCTGCTGGGTAATTGATTTCTTTAGGAGGGTCACAGCAAACAATGTTGCTATGCCCTGTTTCTTGTTACTTAAGCCTTACTTCTCAAACACTTCCTCATATTCTGGAATAAGCAAAATGTAATCTGAGTTTTATAACTTGTTTGGATTTAAGAAATGTAGAGAGGTGTTTCATGCTAACCAAATTCTTCCTGACACAACAGTTCACCCTGATTTACCAGTTTTGATAGCATTGTTGAGCACAGAGAGTTCATCTGCAATTTTTTGGCTGATTGATGTTATGGTGACTAGGGAAAATTGCTTAAGGAGGTTGGCACTACTCAAAAGTACTGATGAGGAAAAAATAATTCTCCCATATTCATGCTTAGAAAAGACCCCAGTATATTCAGCCCTGGAGAGGAGGAAAGTCCAGGTAGGTTGGATAAGACCACCACGGCATCCACCAGAAAATGCTTATTTTCTGCCACTACAGTAGTTTGACTTAAAACTGCAAGGGGCTTGGGTGCATTGTTTATGAAACAGCAAACTTCCTCTAGCAAAACAGGAAATCTGAGAAGGGAAAATGTTTGCTAAGATGGGAACAGCATGGCCAAAATGATTTTTTTTTTTACTGTCCATCAACATTTCTACATACAATTAAATAATTTCCTCTATTTTATTGTATTTTCATATGTGCAACAAAGGGTTCTTGATGCTTTCATAGGATATTATTTTATGAAAATGTTTCTGGTTGATATTGACCATACACTTAAATCTCACTAATTTATTATGCCTGATGTTCATTTCAGATTAGATCGTTGTACTAACTTTAGAGAAATGGTTTATTGAGTATAAATAGTGCTAGTGGTACATATATTTTACCTACTTAAGAGAGCAGATTGTGATAGAAATCCTATTTGGTTAATCTCTTGCACTTACATCTTTAATTTGATCCCAATCATATGACTGCTCACCTTATCTTTTTAAAATATTGTGTTAAAATACCATAACAAAAAATTTACCATCTTAACCATTTTTAAGTGTTCAATTCAGTAGTGTTAAATATATTCACCTGTTTTGCAACCACTCTCCAAAACTCTTTGCCTCTTGCAAAATTAAAACTTTATATTAACATTAAATAACTTTCCATTCCAACCCAACCTCCAGGTCCTGGCAAACAACATTCTATATCTGTTTCTATGAATTTGACTACTCTTAGTACCTCATGTAAGTGGAATCATACAGTATTTGTCTTTTTCTGACTGGCTCATTTCACTTAGCATAATGTCCTCAAGTTTCATCCATCTGTAGCATGTAGAATTTCCTTCCTTTTAAAAGCTAGATAATATTCCAGTGTATGTATATACCACATTTTATTTATCCGTTCATCCATCCTGGGCACTCAGGTTGCTTCCACTTTTTTGGCTATTCTGAATAATACTGCTATGAACATGGGTGTACAATTATCTGAGTCACTGCTTTCAATTCTTTTGGGCATATGCCTGGAAGTGGAATTGCTAGATTGTATGGTAATTCTGTTTTAATGTTTTTGAGGAAGCTCCATACTGTTTTCCATAGTAGCTTCACCATTTTACAATCCCACCAAGAGTGCACAAGGTTCCAGTTTCTCCACATCCTTGCCAACACTTGTTATTTTCTTTTTGGTTTGTTTTTATAGTGGTCATTCTAATGGATGTGAGGTGGTATCTCATTGTGGGTTTTATTTACATTTCCCTAATGATAAGTGATGTTGACTGTCTTTTTATATATTTGTTGGCCTTTTGTATATCTTCTTTGAAGAAATGTCTATTCAAGTCATTTTTAAATTGGGTTGTTTGTTTGTTTTGACGTTAAGTTGTAGGAGTACTTTATATATTCTGGATATTGACCAGATATATGATTTGCAAGTATTTTCTCCCATTTTGTAGGTTTCCCTTTCATTCTGTTGTGTCTTTTGATGCACAGGAATATTTAATTTTGATTTTGTCCAATATATTTTATTTTTGTTGTTTCTCCCCTTTAGAATATCTTTCCTAATCTTTTGAATATCTTCTAGCTTTCCTTCCCTAAGTTTCTGCTAAATGTCTTATAAATATCATCTACACTTTCTCACCTCTTACTCCTTCAATCCATGGTTTCCAAACTGTGTGCAGAGATGCCCCAGGCACAGTGAACTCATAGGAGCGCCTGGTGGATATTACACAATTCTGAGGGAAACACAGTAGTACTTGATGTCTTTCTGATACCACACAAAATATTAGCTTGGGATAGTTTACAGTTTCAACATTAGCTCACTCTACATTCCTTTTCATAATGTCATATCTTTGAAAAGATGGATATTCAGTGGTTGCTGTGATACAAGCAATTACAGGGCAAAAATCAGTGTTGAACAGGAAATGACAGTGGCTAGCATCTTATCTAATTCCATAATTTAGGAAGTTCTGTAGTGTGTAACAGGTGCATGCATCCCGTTAGTAAGTAACTGATTATTTAAAAATAAAATCAAATATTTTTCTTTCAATTTTTATGTATTACTTTTCAAACAGCATCTAAGTTGCTAGTACATAAATACCGATTAAGTTGTTTGGAACTGACTACTTAATAAACTGAACTATTAAGTATTTCTTTTGACTTAGGAATACTATGAAAAAATCACTGAGTTATGAAAGACTCCATGAACTGAGAAAGTTTGTGAACCTCTGTCTTAGAACCTTTGCATATGGCTTTCTCCATACTGCTCTGTTGAAAGCATTTTCTTGAATATGACCAATGTCTTCCTTCTTGATAGCAAAATCGATTATATTATTCTCAGATGTTTTTATTAGTTTCCTGTAGCTGCTAATTAATAAATTAGCACAACATGGGTGGCCTAAAACAACAGAAATTTATTCTCTCACAGTTCTAAAGGCCAGAAGTCCAAAATCATAGCTGCCATCCCTCTGAAGGCTCTAAGGGAGAATCTTTCCTTACTTCTTCCAGCTTCTAGTGGCTGTTGGCATTTCTTGATTTGTGGCCACACCACTCCAATCTCTGCCTCTACGGTCACATTGTTTCTTCCTCGTCTGGGGGTCTCAAATCTTCCCCTGCCTTACTTTCATAAGGACGCTTGTCATTGGATTTAAGACCAAATCAGATAATCCAGGATGATCTCTTCACTTCAATATCCTTAATTGCATCCGCAAAGATCCTTTTTCCAAATAAAGTAACATTCACAGGTTCCAAAATTAGGATGTGGACATATCTTCTGGAGTGTCACCATTCAACCATCAACCTGCTACAGATGTCTGAGGCTTTTGATACTCTTGACCATTGCTTCTTCTTGACATACTCCGTTTTCTCTTCTTTGACACTGCACTAAAGTGATCCCCCTCTTAATTTGGCTGTGGGCCACAGTGTCCAGAGTATTACTGTTGTACATTACTCTGGATGTTACTGTGAGGGTGTTTTGGGGATGAGATTAAAGTTTAAGATGGTAGACTTTGAGTAAAGCTGATTGTCCTCCACAATGTGGATGGGCCTCTTCCAATTAGTTGAAGACCTTATTAGAACAAAGACTGAACTCTCTAGAGCAAGAACGAATTCTGCCAGTGGACTGCCTTTTGAATTGAATTGAAACTCTTCCCTGAGTCTCCAGTCTGTGGGATTACCCCATCAGATTTTGGACTCGTCAAGTCTCCACAATTGCCTAAGCCATTTGCTTAAAATAAATCTCTCTTTCTGAATATACACACATCCCATTGATTCTGTTTCTCTGGAGAACCCTGACTAATACCCTTTAACTCCTTCTCTGTCTTCTTTACCTCATTCATCGACATATGTGAAAAATGAATTCATTATATCTTCATCCAACTAGCCCTACTCTAGACTTCAGTGTTCCTCAATGTGATATCATCACTTAAAAACAGGTCCTTCTAACCTGCTACACAGCTGACTCCAGACCTAGGAGG